CCATCGGTACTAAACACTTTTTCACCAAACTCCTGTACAAAACTACGCAACTTTGCGCTCCTTGAACTACATGTACTCACTTTAGGCATTGTAAAGTCAAACTGAAGTCTTATAACGCCCTCCACATATATAAATAGAATACTTCTAAGCCCTCCAAGAAAGAATGGGATGTATATACCTTATAGTAAGATGGAGTACAATAGGAGAATACCCGTTACACTTGCCTCCCTCCTGCCTCGACTGGGAAAGGCCGGCTTGCCAGGTCATAAATGCTCCATTTCACAAACTTTCGTCTTTGTAACTGCAAGTACAGTCCAGTCAAAAATATGGTTTTTAATACGAACTTCATGTACTTGAACTCTATTCCACATTGAAGCAACAGTCCAGCCTGGAATTTATTTTGTAATACTAAACATTATGGAGCCGAAATTTTACATTATATCAAAGAATTGTTTCTAAAATGACAAAAATATAACCTCATTTCAAAATTATGCCAAAATATGCTGTAAAACCAATAAAACTCTAAAATATGCACTTATATGCACAATAAAAACAACATAATTTCAATAAGAATGACTGGAAACATGCATAATTACATTTAAAAATAGGAATAAACCCTAGGAAAAAATATGACATGTCATAGAAATCCGGGCCCTAGTAATCATCATCCATACATCTGATGCTTTCCATGGGGAATTAGGCGAGATGGTCTGCAATTAGGCTAGCCCTGAAATATACTAGAACTTCATCATCCAAGTTTTTATAGAAACTCTGCAAAGAAACATTTTTATACTCAGCTCCAAGAAATGAAATTCAAAGCATTACCCAATTATAGCCAACTTAAAGCTGCAAAATTAAACTGAAAAAGAAAACTCCTTCCAAACTGTCTTTAAAATACATTTATGACCACAGCACAATATTTAAAACCTGAAAGCAGGCAGTGAGGTGTGATTCAGCAAGGCTACAAAGCATATAAATTATAGCATGCTGCATTCATGTGCATTGCTTAAGGCCATATGCATCCTCCATACAAGAATTTACAATATTGCACAAAAGTGCACAATTATAAATGCTTATCATTTTCTGAAACAGGATGTCATAAAATTACTTTATGGTCACAAAGTGAAACTTTATAACAAATGCAGCTAAAACTGGCCATGCAGTTCAGATATTACAAGTACAACGGTCAAAGAATGAAAATACAGTGACCTTTAAATTACATATCTATACGATAATTTGAACACACACACACACACACACACGTATGTATATCTGTATAGATTATGGCATGATGTTCACAAATTTTCATGTGAGTGCTGTATTTGTACAAGCCAATGAGAGAGATTATAAAAGGTTAATTAAGTCACAATGAAGAGAATTAATTAACCTCTTATAATACTGTAACGTGTTGGGTTACTGTAGACGCCGTTCGGATTGTTAATTGGATTATTCAACAACCTACAAGTAACGGCTACAATTAATTATGACAATGTTGCAGGGTTTCATAATTTATAACCCTATTCACAAATCAAATCACTCTACTGTCAGTATACACGTTTTTATCACGCAGGAGGTATACAAGTGCAACTGTATCACACACTCCCAATTAGTCTTCGCTGCTCCATATCTAGCCTCGTTCCGGACAACACAGAAAACAGCCACGTAATAGGCGCCATTGTTTTCTGGTGCCGTGTTGCTAGCAACGCTGTCCGGAGTTGTTTACTGCTGCCTAGCAACCGCGGTATCCCTTGGTGACGTCACCGCTGGGGGGGTAGACGAAGGAGTGTTGACTCGCCTGTTACCTTAGTAACGACTGCGATCCGATAGCATTACATAACCGCTGGCGGGGGGGGGGGGTGTCCCTGCATAGCGCAACACGTCACAATATTGTCAGTGTGATGGACTAGGATGAAACAAATCAAACTCAATGAAAGAGACTTTACATAATATCACATGATTCAAATTTCTCATAATCAGAGAAAATATGAAGCAGAAGACCTATGACATTGTGGTGACTTAATGATCTGTGGATATAGGGAATACATAGCTTCAATCTTTGACATAAATTAATGCATGTTTTCTGAAAATTGGGTGAACTACCTTCCAAATTTAGGACCTCTTTACTAGTGCGAGTAAAACGTTGTTTGTTATTCCTGCAGCTCTATGTCCCTCATTTTCTGTTCATCCATTCCTGCACTAGAAGGCTGAGCTCTGACAGTCACAGTCTGTATAAATCCAACAAACATCTGCATCACACCAACCATTGATTATGGAGACAAAGACGGTCTCCAGAATAATGGAAACTGATCCCATAATGATTTGTCTGACTGCCTGAGATTCCATACAAACCCAAAAACTATGATTAGGGAAAAATGTTCTTACAGAAAGATGAAATGTGTGTGGTAATGAAATAATTTTAACTTCTGAATGCTACTTGTAAATAAATAATTACTAGATTTACTCATTAATTACTGTGGTTTTTGGAATATACTACATTAATTCAATAATAACTGTTTCTTATTAAAATAACTTAGCTTAAGTGGTAATTCTTCTGATCTGTACTTGGGAGGTGTCCAGATGAAATCTCAGCTGGACACAGACTATAATGATAAGAGATTATACATGGTTTCTATGAGTCCTTCAGGCAAAGACCTCCGAGTACTTCGGTTTCCCCTGCCAAATAGGTTAAATAGGCTAAATAGCCGAAACATGTTAATCTATTTTCAAATTTGATGTGTTGTGACTGATAAATATAGTGCTCATCATTTAATTATTATATTAGTATAAAATTATATTGTTCTTCTTATTATTCTATTATTGTATCATTGTATTGTCTTATTGTATCGTTGTATTGGATTATAGAGTGTTTTGACTTGTCCTATGTCATGTATAATGATCCATGGATGTGAAGTGAATAAATAAATAAATAAATAAATAAATAGTACCTCAAATCAGACCACATCCACTTCCTTCCATATCCTTTCTAATTCTTCATTCACTGATCTTGCTCCACAGTCTCAGCTACTCACAGCACCATCAAATTACAAATATAGAAATAAAAAATAAAACATTATTATGGCCACGGTACCTTACATTCCTCCATAATGCAAGTTGACATTATGAAGCCAGTACCAGGTCCTTTCACTAAACTGTTTTTTAAACTGACTACTGGTTTGAAAGTATATATACAATTTCTACAATATAACACAAGATTGTCATCTGTTTAGCATTCTGCCAGCACCATCCGCAACATCACAGTAGGTTGTATTGCTCATGACATAATTAGTATTGAACTAAATGACATCTAAACGCCATTACTACTTCCAACATAAAGTCTATGGTTGGATAAAAAAAATTTTAAATAACTGTTTCATGAATATGTGCATCAAGATAATCAATCATGTTGTCACCAACTTTCTACTATGAAACACACTCATATATATATATATATTCATTAATCAGTAATCTGTCAGATGAGAGGTCCACAGTCTCTTCCAAAGCAGTTCCTCCACTTAATGCGAATATATATATATTGTGACATGTTGACCCCTACCTCCCCAGCTGCACGTAGCGGTAACGTAGCGCTCGCGTAATAGGCGAGTAATCACCCCGCATCCTGGTAGCTATGCAACGCGCGGTGACATCACGAGCGGAGTTGAAGAGAGCCGAGCGGAGCCGAAGATAGCCGAGCCCCCGCAACCTGGTAACTATGCAATGCGAGTCAACAGCGGTGACGTAAGAGGATGACGTGGCACTCATTACGCAACAAGCAAGCACTGCAGCTATATAAGTGAGCTGCACAGCGGCTGCGAGTCAGTTATAAAGTAACAGTCGCCGAGTCGAGTCGTAAAGCAGCCAGTCAGTGCGTTACCAACGAGTTCTCAGTTCGCAAGTTACGAGCTACAGACGCGTGTGCGATAACCAGTGATAACCAGTTATATCTGGAGTGGGTAATTCAGGGAGACTTGTATAGCTCCCGCGTTATTAATACGTGCAGCTGGGGAGGTAGGGGTCAACATGTCACAATATATATATATGAAACTTAATGCCAATATCAGAACTGAAGTCAATATTACAACTGGCAATATAAAATAATTTAAAAAATATTATATTAGGGATAGGAAGAAGTTGGCACATGCGCCTCATCTGACCCAGCACTACTTCAAACTGGTGTGAAGCACACTATACTATAATTGTAACAAAGTATATTGGAACTACATGCTCTCTGCACGTGCTTACATTATAAATATAACTGAATTAGCTGTATGGTTTAAATGTCAAGGAAAAGAAGACTTCTGGACTATACATTATCTGATTGAGTTTAAATCTTTTTAATTCATATTAATTATGTACAATTTTATATCAAAAGCATGAAAAGCTTAACTAGACTGATGATATGGCTCACCAGCCAAACTAATTTCCCATCCATGCTGTACATGTACATGTACACGTCTATCAGTGAGATAGTTTTGACTGAACACAAAGCTAATACGTAACACATATCTGCATTAGACTTATTCCTTTTTCCATGGGTGTATTATGTGTACTAATTATACATTTGCATAAAGTAACAAAACAGAAATTCACAGAAAGATCCCACTGCCACTATTATATCAGTCTCCACGATACTGATGAAACATATTATCAATACAATACCAGCATACTGTACCGACTGACAAACTGTTTTATTCTGTAACATGCATCTCTATAATTAAAACATGGGGTAAAACTTTTGCATGAGACAAAAGACCAAGTCATCATTCCAATATATTGTAAGTCTTATTCAGTGTGAGTTAAAATGTGTCCATGCCTTGATAAAGTGCCACAACTGAAGAAAAAATAACAACAGTAATATCAGACAAACATCTTAAAATGAAGACAGTGCAACCATCTGGCAGGACTTTCATTGCAGGCAGTTACTGTAACTTAAGTACTTACTGTAACTTAAGTTACAGTAACTCAAATAGCTGTTTCAAATCTTCTTGCTAAACATAAGAACTGTTCTGACTTGAATCTGTATCATATATAGAGGATGTAAGTGAAAGGTCCATATTAACATGTGTATGGAAACATTTAATTTGTGAGTTATTGCTGAAAGAATGCATGATCATGTACTGGCACAGTTTCGCTGTTCTCAATAACACCTATCATGACTGATAGATCAGTTGAGGAGAACCCACTGCATGGCTTCCACACTTGCCAGATTTGAATCCTTTGGATTTTTACCTGTAGGGACACCCAAAGCCCTTGTGTATGCAACTGCTGTTAACAACTATGAGGCACTTCACCATTTCATTGTGG